TTCCTTTGGTGCCAGTAACGAGTTGGCATTGCTTCCAGGACTAAATAGAGGCGAAGGGTGGGGTATCACAGAATGCAACGAGTACTTTGTGCTTCCCACTAGAGTGAGTGGAGGAGGCTTGCATCTACCCTGCTGTGGCGTTACGGTAGGCCATGAACCACTTGCAGGAGGATAGCGGTTATACTCCCTATTGTTTATCCTATAATTCCGATGGAATATATTTGCCGTTTTGCCTCCACCAGCGGTGGATCCCCTGATTTGAGTGATTGAGGAGGAGCAAGGAGCCTGACCGTGGCCACTACCGTTGTTGGAACCGTTCAATAATGGGGAGGCACGGGCGTCACCAAGGAGTGACTGTGAAGGAGTGGAAAGAGAAAACATGAAACTGAGTGGGATCAACTCGCAGCGTGGCAGCTCTAAACACAACGCACAAGGTGACGACTTACTCTGGCATGAGGAGTGTGTTGCAGAGACGAGGAGGATGTTTGCGCGTCGTTCGTCGCATGCCTTGCCGTTCCAGACCTGGTGTGCTCATTAGACGAGGATGGTGAATCATGCCTAGCCGCAGTGCTCGTCGATAAGGATTGATCAACTACATCTCGTCTACAGGAGACATCAACTGGAAGTATGCAACTTACTGTGCCGTCTCGGCCATCGCATGTGTAAGTGAGTTGGGAAGATGCAGAGCGGACGGACGAGCGACACGTCTGCTAGCTGTCGATGTGGCGGATAGAGTGAGCATACGCCGAGCTGGCCAATGTGTGTAAGTGTGAGTGTGAGTCATGAATGTTTGACCTCAGGGACGAAGGTCGCCATCACATGCATGTGTGTGGGTGTGGTCAAGGTCAGTCTCTACATCAGCTGTAATTCGTTGTTTGGTTTGTCGCTCTACCACAATCACGCTTTGGATGCAGGACTGGTGGAATGAGAGGGGGACGAAGGTCACGTCGGTTGGTCACCCATGTAAATATGCGAGCAGCAAGAAGGAATGTTTGGTGGACCGATCCATGCTCTGTTTATTAGCAGCTGGATAATGAAGAGCAGCTGGGTGAAGGCGACTACCTGTGTTTTCTGACATAGAGACATGTAAGTGGAATCACTGCAGAAGTAAAGACAATCAGTGCTTTGCAGGATGTGCCATGACACCAAAATCGACACACTACTTCTCGAATATCTGCGTTTGGCTTGTGCCGATGCTTGTGCTGCGTGAGAGCTGAGATGAAGGACGACTATTCAGTGTGGAAGCTGATGGTGATTGGGAATGAGCACTTCTCGGATGATGGAAATTTATCCTCTGTTGACTGGACCCTGTTTGTAATGAGGTGCAGCAGAGTAGAGATACCTTTTCTATGCTTAGAGTTGAACTGCAGCACTTGAAACGAATTCTGCTCCAGCGAATACACACACTTCCACTTGTCTAATTCTTCAGCTTTTGTCAGACGAAGAGATTTACCACGACCATTCTGTGCATTAGTCAAAGTGGCAAATGGGCAGGAATTGTACTCCTCTGCTTTTACTCCAATTGTTGACTTCGGGGATTCACTACTTGAACCAGGCTGGACAAGCAGTCTGCATTGTCGAGAATGTTCCTCTATCCGTAGTAGGCCATGGCAACGCTGAATCTCCTCCCATTTACGGTGGTAGCGGTTCTGCTTTTGGCCGGTCAGCCTTCTCGTAATACGGCGGGTGCTAGACACTGCTACACCCGTGGTCCCGTCTTCGCCGCTGGTAGTGGCGATGTGCGTGTTGGTGGCGATTCTATCCTTTCGCCTGCTCCTTTTTACCTCCTCAACCCATCACGTCGCCAGTGCAAAACACCGACTGCGTCGTCTCGCACAGACATACATGCACTGCTTCCTCTTCTTGTTATTCCACCAATTCCAATTAAAAGTGCAGTCACTAATCAAGTAGATTGATATCACGATGCGGATGTCTAGATCAGGAAATAACTGAGATTATTGGGTAGGGAGGTACTTACGACTCCGTACCTTTCGACAGTTGAACCACCTCCCAGCTGCAGATGTGGAAGGTCCAGAAGAGGGTTACGCCAGTGAATCTTCTTTCAGTGGTGGATTAGGCGGAAGATGACATCCATGCCGATGACAAACTCAGAATTCTGGATGCACACCGTTATCCGTGTCATGCATTTGCGGCATACGTTGGCCAGCCAAAGGAAAGGCGGAAATAAGTTCTAGTTTACTCCGTGTCAAATATGTTATGAAAAGTGATGGATGCATTAGACGATGGCAACTGTCTTCGTTCTCCCCAAGTGGATAGATGATAGAGTGGATTTTAGTTGAATGAAGCAGGAAGAGGCGTAGAATGGAAGAATGTCCTGATGGGTGAATTGGCAGGACTAGATTAACTGGGGGGCCGGATCGGCTTGCGATGTGTGAAGGTAGTATCCGCACCAAACGAATTGGTAGTAGGGTCAGTGGTAAGGGAACATGGGGCGGATAGATAAGGCCATCAGGAAGAAGGATAGGTGCTGGACCTTGAGTTAGATGATTGGGTGCAGTATGTTTGGTCCAGCAGACACAGGCACTTCACTCTCTCCACTTCCGGTATTCCGTCTTCCACATCATAATCCGCATGCGCCCTTGGCCTTGCAAACACTTTGTTCGTACATTGTAAATTTTCCTCTCAACTGGTTTAACTCATTGCGGTTTCAAGGAGGACTCGGGACAATGCACACTATTGGGTGGCCCAGCAGCTGTTCTATTCGCCCTCCTCCAGGCGTTAAAACAATAACTGGTAACAAGTCTAGTCAAAGTCAATGTATCTCCCCAAGAAAACTGCATTAAATAAGCTTTTTCTCTCCTTCGAATTTAACGCATCATTTGGCACCTGTTCTTGCATTTTGCGGTTCATCTCAAGGTGATTGGTGGTGTGATTAGTTGGAGAGCTTATTTGAGATCATCCGAAGCTGCGTTCTTATGAGCTCAGCATGACCAAGAGCAAATCACATTCGGTTGATGAAACATTCTTCGAAGCTTCTGGAATGTGATTTTAGTGGAAGCCAAGCCATAGCAGAGGCACTCTCTTCTCACCCCTGCACAAGCACTTATCCAGCAGCATTAGTGAAGTCTGGCAGATTGCACAGATGATTGCCACCTCTTTCAACTGGCTCCGTGCTGCATACACAGGGACAAAATCCCCAATCACCATTCATCCACCTTCCGACAGAAGTGGTGGAGCCAAGAGTAGAGACTGAGGAGCAAACTGGTCTGAGTGCAGTCACCTTTTCTCCCACACCAACAGGGAGGTCACGCACTCCTCTTCTGCACTTCGTCATCCCTCAATTGTTACGCACACGGGGTAGTTTGAACAAAAGGGGATCTGTGCAGCTGTTGACGCCACCTCTGCTGCAAAGTCGTGGCAGAGGAAAGGGAGAAGGAATAGGATAGGATGTATCATCTTTGTGCATTGAAGTAGGCGAGAGGGACGGGCGTTGGGATGGTCAAGTTGGATCTCGCACATGCATCACTGGATATGAGGAGAAGAGGGCGAGCAATTCACGCAGCTACACAACGAATGATTGTGAGGTGAGAGGAGAAGGACAAAGTGTAATGGCACTCACGCCAAGGATGGGAGACGAAGGCGAGAAGTGTGGGAGTGTGAAGGGAGGCAAGGAAGATATCTAGATGGATAAGCAGGCAGGTCTAGAATGGATAGACGGCTGAATGTGGGTGGGAGGGGAAAAGAGGTGGAACCGGACCAAGCGCGTATGCCTGTGGATCATGAGAAATGAAGGTGAGATAAACTGGTGGAGAGTTGGGCAGTGTCGGCTTGGATGGGGTTAAATGGAGAAGAAGAATTTCGGGTATCATCATCCCTGCGTAGCTAGGTCTCAAGGATCCATTCAGGTGGGCAGCATTTTGTAGGAATTTGGCCAGCGGTTTCAGTGCTGGTAGTAGGAGAATATTTTTGAGCTCTACAACTACCCGTGTACGCGCTTCGGTCTTCGCACCCCCAGTTTCCTCCATTCCACATTGCATTCCACGCATGCACTTCACCTTCCAAGCATTCTCTACGTGAACAGTAAATTCTCCTTCAAACTAACCTGACTTATTACTGTAAGGCCTTGATTGATTGACTCGTGGTTTTGGCAGAGGGTCACTTTGTGTCCTGGCCAATGCACCTACTCCGGCCGGGCTGGTCTCTCTCCGGGCGAGGCCAGTAGACCCAAACGCTTCTGTATGCTGAATACGGAGATGTGTCGGGGCGCATCGTTGGATGGCGTGGCACCAACATCAATCACTCTCCTGGAGGCACTAGAAGAAACAGTATGCTGCACTTCCTGTCAAAAAGAGTAACCTTCCCCAAACAAACAGATTTTAGACAAAGATTTTGCCTCTGACTTCTTAATTTACCGAAATATCCATCACTAGTTATTGTCCCTTTACCAATTAAGTGAATGTTGTTGCGGCTGTGATTAGTTAGAGGGCGAGTGAGAGCAGCCGAGTGTGGACCCATTTGTGCTTACCTAGGCTATGCCAAACCCCTCTCTGTAGTTACACATTGGCTAAGAAGTAAAGTAAGACGAAGCGAATGGAGAAGGAGAACAGATGGGTTCAGAAGTACAACTGGTCGCAGACTTAGGCGTTATCTGAGAAACCCAGATTCGGGGAGTCTTTATAATATGCTTTCCTCAATCTAATACCGTTTCTTGTCTTTCTTCAAAATCAAGGATGCAGATTGTTTTCACCTTGCCTCAATCACACCAATCTCTGTTATAATAGACCCGTGCTCGGAAATGGGCGAGAAATCCACGAGCAGTCATGGCAACGGTAGTTGTTTCCTTCTATGCGACATGCTCGAGATAATCTGATAAGCGTTTTCAACCTCCT